ATATTATGTTGCATGCTCATTCCTTTCATAGAGTTATTTGAAACAACTTTCTTAAAGTTTAAAAATAAATTTATAAGAAGGATAAAATTAGTCACTTCTCTTAAATATACATGCAATATTGTTTTAAGTCCACAGTAAGGTATGTACAAAATTTCTGAGCATTCCATTGCACCTAACTCCTCTGTCTGCTTGGACCTGTGCTCCATATATGGGATCCTGGAGCATGTATCATCCCACATTAATAGTTGACTTTAGAGCTTGTTCTTGGTGTTGTATTTTTGTGGGATTGGAAAAAAATGTGTAATGATATACATCCATTGTTTATAGTATTGCAAGAGCACTTTTTCTCAAAAGTGAAAATCTTTTGTACTCCACATATTCATTCCTCCCCCCAACCGGTTAACAACTGTTGATCTTGCATCCTTCTAAGTTTTACCTTTTCTAGAAAGCCATATAAATGGAACAATGTAAATAAGCAGCCTTTTCAGATTGGCATCTTTTACTTGACATAAATTTAAGCTTCCTATATTGTTTTCATGGCTTAGTATCAATTATTTTTAGCTATAGATAGTATTTTATTGTATTGCTGTACTGAGGTCTTTATCCATTCACCTACCGAAGAACATCGTGGCTGCTTCCAGGCTTTGGGAATTATGAATGAAGTTGTTAGGAAAATTCACATACAGGTTTCGGTGCAGGCATACATTTTTAGCTCATTTGGATAAGCACAGGGAACTCAGTAGCTTGTTGCTCAATAAAAGTATATCTCTTTTTTGTAGGAAACTGTCAAATTGTCTTTCAAAGTAGTTGACATGCTTACGCATTCTGTAATCTCTTTGTCTATTCTTTCTGCAGCAGCACACTGTCTCAGTGATACAGCTTTACATGATAAACTTGGAAGTCAGACATTGTCAGTCCTCAATATTTGTTTTTCCCCCAGCATTTTGTTACTTATTTTGCCTTTTGCTTTGTCATGAAAATTTTATACTTTGGTAATATCTGCAAAATATTTTGATTGAAGTTGTATTTGGACATAGAAATCAATCTGGGAACAAACGAACTGATAGCTTGACAATACTGAGTCTCCATATCCATAGACAGGAGATCTCTCTCTATGTAGTTCTGTGCTTTGCTCTTCGTAACTATATTTTTCTTATATAAATCTACACACATTTGTTAGATGTAGACCTATCACTTTTGGATTTACAAAAGTAAATGACATCATAGAATTTTAAAAGTCAAATTCATTTTGTTTGTTGCTGGCATATAGGAAATTATCACACATTAACTTTCCCTCCTGTTGATTTACTTAATAAATTACTAGTTCCAGATTTTGTAGTATTGATTTTCTCCATAGACAGTCATGCCATTTGTAAACAAGCATAGCTCTAATTTTTCTATCAGAATACCTTTTATTTTTTTGTTGTCTTCATGTTGAAAAGTGATGGTAACAGAAAGCTTTCTAGCCTGTTCCTGATATTATTAAAGAAGACTCTAACTTTTCACTAGGAAGTATGGTATCAAGTGTAGGTGTTTCTAAGAAGTTTATGGATTTTTTTTTATTGCATTCTGATTTTACATAGACTTTTTGCAGTGAAGGGATAGTAAATGCTTTTTCTTCATCTATTGCTATAAACATGATTTTTCTTCTTGATCATTTTTCCTTTCTAAAAACTTTTAAAATATTTTTATTTTTTACATTTCATATAATAGTTCCTAATCAAATTTAGACCTCCCTCCCCCATCTATGCCTCCCTCCACAAGATTTCATGCATCCTATTATACATGTTAAGTTCTATCTGGTCAACCATTTGTACCCAGATGTCCTTCATTGCAAGTTCATCCACTGGAGTCTAGTTAGCCTATCTAGATATCTTAAAAAAGACCTATTCTTCCTCACCCAGCAATAATCAGTTGCCAATAGTTTCTAGGCTAAGGCTGGGGCCGCTGCTCATTTCCCTCATTACAGACTGGGTTTTTGTCTGATTGAGTCAGTCTGGGTCTTGTGCATGCTTTCACCACTGCTGCAAAATCATACGAGCAAATTTCTGTGGCTTTAAGGCCTCTCTTTCCTTATGTTCATAGACCAACCCTGGCTCTTACAATATTTCCTCACCTTCTTCTGCAATGCTTCCTGAGCCATGGGTGGGTGAGGTTTAATATAGGAGTACTATCCAGAAACATACACTTTGCAGTCTCTTATTCTCTAAAACTTGGGCAGTTGTGGCCTTCTGTGTGCATTGTACTCTGTTGCACAAGGAATTACTTGTAAGAGTTGAGAGATGTAGTAATATTCTCTCTACTGCTTGTTCCTCTATGTTGCATGAGCCTTAGTCATAGTGGGTACACTGTAGATGTGTCACTTAACGTTGGGCATCTCTCAGACATAGACCCTTTGTGTGTGGAACTCTTTAGCAGCCTTTCCACCTGTTGCAAAATGAAGCTTCTTTTATTAGTGGTGTAGTACTCAATTTATGTGCTCCCTTAGCACCTTGTATAATGTTCTCCAAAACTATGAGAGAGACTTCCAGGTCAGTTCTAGCTCCGTTGCTCCATTCAATTCCTGGGTCTGAAGTATGTCCTATTTCAGCAATAGGGTCTTACTTTCAAGTTCTGGGAGGTAATCAAGGGCTGTAGCAATAGCCAGTGTTATTCTGAGAGTCTCTTGGACTACCATAACCAACCTATCTGGCACTGCGTTCCTTGATATAAAGCCTTCAAATATATGCAAGCACTAATGTTCAGACATTGTATGTGCATTTTCAGGGGTTTTTAGCATTAATACATTTGTCTCTTACCTTTTATGCTATCTAAGCTTTATCTCTCCTGTTCTCTCCCTGTCTAACCTCGCTCCTCCCTCCCCAGTTTAAGAACTCCCATTTCCCCCATTTTACCCTTGATAATACCTGTCCCCTGTTGTTCCCCCACTCTTGAGTTCCTTCTTTGCCTTTAAGTCCATGGTTCCTTGTGTGTCCTTCCTTCCTCCCTCTCCCAATTGTATACCCCATTTCCCCATTTCCCCTTTGCTAACTTCTGTTTCCTACAATCCCTATCTTCCAGGTTCTTTTTTCTTCTTTACCTCCATGCTTCCTTTTCATTTTCCTGGCTCTTGTACTTACATCAGGATATATACTCACATATAAGGGATTGGTGCTAAGATCCACAAATGAGGAAGAATGTATGTAACTTGCTTTTCTAAGTCTGTGTTACTTAACTTAGCATAACAGTTTCTAGTTCATCCATTTACCTGCACATTTCATAATTTTGTCTTTCCTTACCACTAAGTAGAACTCCAAATGCACCACATTTTCATTATCTTCATCAGTTAAGGGGCATTTAGGTTGTTTCTATTTCTAGCTATTGTGAAAGAACAGCAAGAAACATGGATATACAGGTATCTATACAGTAGGATGAGTCTTTTGGGTATATGCCAAGGAGTGGTATGACCAAATTATATGGTAGATTCATTTTTAGTTCTTCACACTACTTTTCATAGTGGCTGCACAAGTTTGTATTTCTACCAGCCGTGAATGAGCATTCCCCTTTCAACTGTATTTAATTTTTGAATGTAGGTTGTCCAACAATGTTTCATAAAACATTTTCCTCTTTATCTTCCTAACTTCAGTTATATGATTGACACGATAGTATTTTATATATAGATAGTCTTTTAAATATTGGTGAGAAGTCCCAGTGAATTAATTAAGCAGGAATCAGTCTTGGACATGCTCCAGTTTCAAGATTCCATGGTGAATGCAGTTTTCAGGTATAAAACCTTCAGTGATCTTTGCTCCTGTTGGACAGAAGATGCTGCTGTCTTTGTTACTGATATAACTGCTCAGAAGCTGCTCTATTTGGCTTAAAGCATGATTTTAAAGAGGCACAACTATTTGGGCATGTCAACACAAGAGAGGAGGTGGGCTAAACAGCTAGATGGAATTTACTCTTTACTGAAGGTGCAAGAAAATAGCTTAAGAGAGCAAAACCTTCCTGTTAAAGAGGGGGCTGTTGACTTATTATGTGGATTTAGGATTTGCTTGTATGTCTGTTGTTATTCTAACATGAAAAATATTAATATTTCTGTTTGCATTATATAGTTCCTTTGAAATAGTTCTGCAATGCAGACAGCAATTTTCTGAAAGATTTAAACGGCCAGAGAAAATGGGCCGTAAGATTTTAAATATATCTTCGAGAAATAATTTAACCTTTTAACCTTCTGTATTCATACCGAATGGAAAATGGATTTCTACATCTTTTAGTCTGAGGTAAAAGTTCCTCCTTCAAACTGAAACCACGTTCTCAACAGGTAAGACTTTAAAAATTGGTAGTGGACACCAGCTTTACAATTGGGTGTATACTGTTACATATAGATATCGTGAACAGAATGTTCCAGAGTAATAAGGTAATGTAGTTGAGGTCTCAAAATGAAATGTGGAACATGTTATTCAAAAGTGGAAGAAAATTACTCACTCACTGTTTTAAAGTAGCATAACTAGTAATTAACAGCTTATAGTTTTACATTCATAATTTATTCTTTAAATATGTAAATCAACTTGCTTTAGAATTATACTTTTGTGACTTTACACATGGGGCATCTTGCAGTGAAATTCTATTCCCATTTTTTTGCCTTTTTACTTTTTAAAACTCATATAAATTTGCTTCCTCTGAGGAATTGTCCCAGATCCCAGTGGATTTAGAAATTCCAGCACTGTGGATCTATAGCATGACATAAATAAATATGCTTATGATGACACTATGGAATTGGTCTTTAATGGCTTGCCCCATCATTATTTACCAAATTGCTTGGAGCATGGAATTTTGTCTCAAATGTCTTGGTAATTCAGATAACTGTAATGGAGACTTTGACACAAAAATGCATGATATACATATTTTAAAAAGTGGAAGAATAAGTAAAGAATAAGATTATATTACTTCCAAGTATATTTTTTCATTGTTTTGTAGGTAAACTCTTTTCATATTTGAAATCAGGACCAATTAAAGAGCAGATGGAACCAATGAACAATGCAACCTACTTTGTCCTCTTGGGCCTCTCCCAGAATTCAAAGGTGCAGAAAGTCCTTTTTGTTATGTTCTTGCTGTCCTATATTTTAACCATGGTGGGAAATCTGCTTATTGTTATGACTGTGACTATCAGCAGGGCCCTGGGCTCACCAATGTATTTCTTTCTTGCCAGCTTGTCATTTGTGGATATCATTTATTCATCGGCCATTTCCCCCAAACTGATTTCAGATTTGTTCTATGGGAAAAATACCATATCCTTCAAATTTTGTATGACTCAGCTCTTCACAGAACACTTTTTTGGTGGGTCAGAGGTCTTTCTTCTGTTAGTAATGGCCTATGACCGCTATGTGGCCATCTGTAAGCCCTTGCATTACTTGACCATCATGAGGCAACGGGTTTGTGTTGAGTTGTTGATATTATCTTGGATTGGAGGATTTTTACACTCAGTAATTCAACTCAGCACTATTTATGGGCTTCCATTCTGTGGCCCCAATATCATTGATCATTTTATGTGTGACATGTACCCCTTATTGAAACTTGTCTGTATTGACACCTATGTCATTGGCCTCTTAGTAATGGCCAATGGAGGGCTGATCTGCACAGTTGTGTTTCTTCTCTTGCTTACTTCTTATTGTGTTATCTTATACTCTTTAAGGAACCTAAGTCAGGAAGGGAGGTGGAAAGCTCTCTCGACCTGTGGGTCCCACATTACTGTGGTTGTCTTCTTCTTTGTTCCTTGTATTTTCATGTATGCACGGCCTGCTAGAACTTTCCCCATTGATAAATCACTGAGTGTATTTTATACAGTCATTACTCCCATGATGAACCCCTTGATCTATACTCTGAGAAACTCAGAGATGACAAATGCTATGAAGAAGCTCTGCAGAAGAAAAGTCATTTCAGGATATAAATGAGTTTCCCACAGTGAAAGAAGTCAGCTGAGTATAATGCTGTGTTCTTAGCATACATGTCTTTAGATTTCCAATTTTGATTTATTTCTCTTGTACCATGAACACATTTTCCTACTATACAGTAACTTCTACAATGTCCTGTTCATCATTGTTCCTGGGGTACACAGTGTAGAGAATCAATGAATAATAAGCAATGAATTAGTGAATGAAATGTTTGTATATTTCACTGATTTTTATCTGTATTATAGTTTACTTTGTCATTTCTTGTTTTTTTTTTTAGTTTTCATTTTATGTTGATTCATTTTATTATAGTAACTATACATTGAAATGCTATATAAATTCTTGCCTTTATTTGACCTAATTTGAATTGCTTGTGGAATTTTTGGTGTCATAATCATAATTTGTAAAATAAAAATGGAAACTTAATATATAATAATATTAAAAACAGGACCCATAAGAGTGTCAAAACTGTAACATCAGTGTACCCATCCCTGGCCATTCCCCGAGAGCTACTACTACCAGATGCAGAGACAGTGCTGTGTTTCTAAGATATATCAGATAAGAGTTCTCATCATTCATTAAAAGAATGAACCTGGAGGACCTTTGTTAATTGGTATAAGTCAGATATAGAAAGACAAATAATACAAAGTATAATTTATGTGTAGGATATGAAACAGTCATGTTTATAGGGGCAGAATCAGAATTAAGAACATCGGCAATTGATCGAAAACTGAAGATGTCAGGAATGTGAAGGTTCATTATGAAAGATAAATAATTCCTGGAGTCTAAAGTATACAGTGGCAGAGACTGTTAATCATACTGTATTGTATACTTGAAATTTTATAAGAGAAAAGATCTTAAATTCTTATAAAATCAGAAAATAATGAAGGAAAAATTTAACCATAGATTGTGATGGATCTGTTAATCAGTTCACTATTGGTGATCATTTTACAGTATATTATGAAAGATAAATAATTCCTGGAGTCTAAAGTATACAGTGGCAGAGACTGTTAATCATACTGTATTGTATACTTGAAATTTTATAAGAGAAAAGATCTTAAATTCTTATAAAATCAGAAAATAATGAAGGAAAAATTTAACCATAGATTGTGATGGATCTGTTAATCAGTTCACTATTGGTGATCATTTTACAGTATATTATACTCA